TTGTTGTGTGTGGGGGGGGGGGGGGTCCCCCATAGTCTCTGGATGTGTGGGTCACCCCGCCCCAGCAGCCCCAGGATATTAGGGGGAGGAGGCCGAGGTTACCCCACAATCGCAGGACTGGGGAGATCACCCCCATCCCAACAGTTCTGTGGTACCGGGAGGGATGTGGGGCACCCCATGGTTCTGTGATAGGGTGGGGGGTTATTCCCAGTTGGTTTGGGGTATCCCCCGCTCCTTATCTTTACAGCACCCTCTGCCCTCAAGGGCCATATGGTGCTGGGGTGCTGCCACCCAGGAGGTGGGTACCCCAGCCTCAGGGCATCCTTTTTGGCCACGGCTGCCTCTGGCCCCACCACTCAGATCCCTCAGTGGGGGATGTGAAGCCCCTCGGTGCCTCAGGGGTAGGAGCCTGTGTTCGGCATGTCTGGAGCACCAGCGGCAGCTGGGAACAGACTTTCAGACCAGGGTCCGTGTTTCCATCCCTGTGAATCCTGTCACGATCTGGATCTGCGGCAAGGATGCCTTCGAGCCTCGTGCAAGACCGCTGTGAATTTGCTAAGTGGCTCCACACTTCCTATTTTTGGGCAAATTCTCAAACATGTTTGCTTCCTCCTGTGATAAGGGCCTTTTCTGGTAACACAAGATCTGATTATCTTCACGTTCCTGAATTTTAATCGTTGGCTTGAGCTAACCGGTAGCGGATGCTCCTGACACGGCTGTAATGATCCTGCTTTTGGCTACGGATTATGTCCCGGTGTGGAATCCTGCCCTCCGCCACCTGCGAAGGGGCAGGTGCTGCAGCCCCGGGGACAAACCACCCCCGTTCAGCTCAGCCTTAGCGCTCAAGTCCAGCCTTAACAAACCCGAAGCTGACTGTCAACCTTGCTAAAAAACTACCTGATGGAAAAATCCCGTTTGAGTCGATTGCTGGAGTTTTCTCCCTGTTTGACACCTGTTAAGGTCCTATTTATAGAGCTCCAGCAGCAGCCCTTACGTAACTGTTGAGAGAGAAAGAGGAATATTTTTTCGCCCTCCTTCCATTTCCCCCAACCAGGTTTGTTTTCTTACTTCCCAGTTCTCTTTCAGAGTTTCCAGGAGGCCTTCCTTCATTTTCCCCACCATTCAGTGTCCCAGACTCCTTCCATAAAGCGCGCTGTCTCCTTTTAATCCTGTTTCTATAAGTAATTACTGTCGTGAAAGCACGCGAAGAGCTCGTAGCAGGCTTTGGTGTTGGATGTGTTCGCTACATCCCTCCCTGCAGAGCTCTTTTGCTCCTGCTAAGCCTTGTGTCGTTTGAAGTAGATCTGGGCTATCTCTTGGTTGAACGTGAGAGCATACGCATTGATTTAGGGGCTGCTTTTGTCACATTCTCCTTTTCCACCCACGCGTAGAAAAGATTTTTAACTTTTGTCACCTTTTTCACGCCGGAGAATTTCCTTCGCATGGGGAAATGATTACAGAAGGTAAGCAGGCGGCTAGCGGGAGCTGGTGCCAGGGCTGTGCTGCTCTGGTTGCTTTCTCAAGCGGAGTGTTTCTATCGAGGGTTTCTCAATAGGGGCATTTCTCAAGCAGCGTCTCTAAGAGAGTCTTACTGATGGCTTAACAGCTCAAAAAAAATAAGCAATTTGTTTATGTTTTTTGCTGCCTCGTGATGAGTAAAGGCTCTTTAAACATCTCAAATTGTATGTTGGATAAGGGAAAGGAAGGAGCTATTTTTAGGTGTTTGTAAGCTTTAGAAAGAACAGAAATGTCAAATATAGGTGGTGTGCGGTTTGTTCTTCTCCTCGTTGGAAATCTTCCTGTCCACGTTTAAATTTTTTCAGTGTTTTCATCAGACTCTTGGGGTTAAGTGGATAGAAACAATCTGGAAACCTAAATATATCTTTGCCTCTCACGTGCTCAGCATTTATGCTCTCGTCTTGAGCTATAATTTTCCCAGTGTACCAATCACGGTAGGTTTTTTTGCGCGGAGAGGTTCAGAGTTTCTCATATATATTTTAAAAAAATACAACAGGAAACACAAATATCCTGAACCCCTTTGTGTCACGTGGGGGAGCAAGCCTGAGGCCTGGTGCCTCTTCACAAGGAGCTATGTGGAGAAGACAAGGGGCAACGGGTACAAGTTGCATCAGGAGAGGTTTCATCTCGATGTAAGAAAGACGTTTTTTACAGACAGAGCAGTCAGTCACTGGAACAACCTCCCCAGGGACACGGTAGAGTCCTTGTCGCTGGAAGGTTTCAAGAGGCGGCTGGAGCAGGTGCTGGATAATCTCATCTCGACTCCCTTTCCCACAAGAGGTTGGACCAGATGATCTTTCCAGATCCCTTCCAAGCTGGGCTGTTCTATGGTTCTCACTTTCCAGAATTCCTTTCTTTATTTTCCTTTTACGTTTTCAAAAAAAACCCAAACAACCCGAGGAACGCTCAATTTTAGCGGTGTAAAATCTGTAATATATAAATTTCTGGGGCAAATGTTTCCTCTTTTGCTCTGGTTTCTCAATAAGGACAGTTCACTCATAAGGACTCCTTATTTTATTCTCCGCTCTGGGATGCTATCGCATGTATTACAATCCCGTTCCTGTTTTACTCATCACGGGAAATACTGACCATCGATTGCACGCTGGTAGAAACGTTTGAAATACGTGATTGCTACAAAGAGGTTTGAAAACAAAAGCCTCCGAGAAACAGGGTGAAGAAGCAGACCCGTTCTGGACATCGATCCAAGCCCGAAAGCTCTCACGGCTGGATGTGAGAATGATCATTCTCTTAGAAACGTTGCTTTAGAGGCTTCAAATATTTGAAAGGCTCTTGGCCGGTGGCCTGCGGGTTGTGTTTCGCATCCTTGGCTGGATCCTCTGGCCCCTCCCAGCTGCCCTCAGCCCCGGGCAGAGTCGTCGTTCAGGCGTCGGGGACCCAGGCGCGGCTGCTTTCTCTCCTGGGTATTTTTCAGGCGCAGGCAGCCTGCCACGGAAGGGAGCTGTGTGACCTGGAGAGGCTGAATGCAGCTGGATGAACAAACAGGTTTTAAACCTTGTTCTCGGCGATGCATTCACATCCAAACGTTTGTAAGGGACTCTAATTACGTGAATTACAAACTTATTTTGTCTGGCCAGTATGAAAAAGATGAAGCTTTGAAGACTGGAGTCAAAGTCAATATTGACTTGTCTTGTTCTAGCGCTAGCAGCGCTTTGGCTTCAGCCCTTGACCTAAATGTCCTTCAGGAGTCTTGCAGAAATCATAAATGGAAAGGGAGATATTGAAACCTGCTATTCTGGATGTTGAAAAACTAGGTAGGAGGGAAAATAGTACTGATACCATCTTCAGAAAGCCTTAAGAAGCAGTAAAGAGGATGCGTACACGCACCTTAGCTATTCACCACTGGTGTGTTACTTTGAAAAGATGGGAACCAAAAGCCACGCTGTATTTGTTAGCTTTACATCCTGTAGTTAGTTAGTTTGTATTTCCAAAAAGAGTGTTTGAAATAGAAATTGTATTGCTAGTAGTAACGCTAATAATGTCGCGGTGTAATATATGCCACGTGGCATGGCCTTACACTGGGATGAATAGGGTTGAAGACCGGAGGTTGATGGAAAGAGACAGCATGTTTGGGGCAAGTCTTGCGAGCGGAAGACCCTTCACCCCGATAACAGGTCAAAGTCGATGCGGTTGCGGCTCGGTGCCCGTGCCGTTCCTTTTCCTGCTAGCCCGACAGGAAGAACTTTAAGAAACTCAAAATGAGGAAATGCAGACAATAGGCACCAGGCCTGCCTAAACTTTGTGGAAGCAGAAGGAAGCAAAACTCTGAGGCCAAAGCATCTCGCTGTAGGAGCCAGAGGGTATAAAAGACCTGTCCAAACCTAGTCTGTCTTTCTAAATGAAGAACAACCCGGGAATCGTAGTGAGGGCTTGGCAGCTGTCCTTTCAAACTCTGCGCTGTACCTAAGTGATCCTGGCCGGATCGCTTGGATATACTTGGTTCTTGTGGGTATGAGTGGCCAGAACCAGCTTATTTAAATATTTTGTAAAATAAAATCACCCTCCCCTTCCACAACATCCCACACCGACTTTTGTTGCACTTTTTACTTTGCAAATGACCCTCCGGTGGATATCGTGATTAAAATAGGTTGAGAAAAAAGGGAGCTTATAAAGGACATTGCTGGGGTTGCTGTTCTGGGAGGTGTTTGAGGCTACACCTGGATATCTGTTGGTTATGCTCTGGGACTAAATAAACCCATGCTTTGTTCCAGGTGATCTGGAGGAGAGGGAAAGAAGGGCTTGATTTAAAATGCTTTAGCATAGTCTTCAAATCCCGATTTGAGCCACACATAAAATGAAGAGGATTCATGGCTGTAGCTGCAATTAGTTTTCATTGGTAAATACGAAAATAGCAAATAGTCCTGTAGTTCCAGGAGGAACATCTCTCTAGATGCGAGCCTTTAACCAGAACGAAAATTCAGAGTATTAAAACCACCAGTGCTTTGATTGCAGCCCAGGAATCTGGTTTTTCATTCTAGCAATCTATTTTGGCTGAGTTTTCCTATTGCAGCCTGGCAGAATGTGATCCTTGCTTTTATTTCGCTGCCAGCCCCAAATTTTTAACCTGGATGAGGTCCTCCACGTTGATCTGTTTCAGCTTACCCGATGTGCTTGGCAACCTCTAATCCATCGAATTACGGAAGGAAAATGATACAGCTTTGTTCAAGGAATGAACTGGGAGCTTGCACGGTGTTAGCTGTGAGTGCTACAACGAGAGCTTGAATCCGGCTGCTTTCTCTCTGTGCCACGGGATGGCTGCCTTCCCTTGCTCTGTCTCATATAATATTGCTCAAGGAACTACAGGTAGGGCAGCATTTAATCTTTAATTTTGCAAAGCAGAATTACTCGGCGGAAGCGTGCGATCGCCTCGGTAGGTCTGCTCTTTATCCTGCCTGCTGTGTTGAGCATGCGTTGGAGACGAAAGCACAGCTGCCGCACCGTGTGTTGTGAACACCGATAGCTGTTGCTCGGATGAGTTTTGGTAAATTTGAGCGTTATTGGTGACCTGGCGTTGCGTTGTGCAGTTTGGTTGAGGTGATACTCTAAATAGCTGGCTTAAAAAAGGGTGTATCCTGTCGGTTGTAAACATTTGGATGGCCGTCATGAATTTCTGGTTGAACTGTCGTCATCTTAATAAACGGTGGTTTGTGTGTTTGAAGCAAACTTCCTTTAGCAATAGGAATCTGTAAGCTTTTATGTGCCATTATTTCCTAATTTTCAAATATTTAAAGAACTTTGAGGCTAGATGTGTTGATAAAAAAATATGCTGCACATGTAAAAGTGTTTTTTCCAAATGCACCTTGGTTGGGGAAAAAAAACCAAAATGGTTGCTTGTCCTTGAGATTTAGAAACATTGGCAACTTTTATTGGATAAACTTCTTTTCTGAAGGTTAGAGGCCAAGGGTTTCTTCTGACCTTGAATCCCACCTGTGTGTGGAAACCCTGAACTCGAGACCAGTCGTCCTTTTTAACTCAGGTTGCTTGCGTGAGATGCTGTTGAGTGCGTACATCTTCTGGGAGGCTGATACCGCATGAATACATTTCACCGATTCCCCTGAGTGCCCAGGGAGGTTTCTTTTACAGCGGAAAAAAACTGCACTGAGCAACTGCCTCCCTGCAGCACCGAACTCTGAGCTTCCAGATGCCAAAGCATCCCCTGGCTGCATCCGCTGTTTTTCCTTTGCTTTTTGGCTGCTTTAACGTGAGCTGGGCAAAAGGGAAAGGAAAAAACAGGGATTTGCTTCTTCTATGGAGAAAGCCACGTGCTATAAGGAAAATACAGATTCTTGGGGTCATATGTGACCCCAAGATTTGAGTGAAACCTTTCACATTGGCCTTTAATTATTGTTTTTGGCTTTGAGGGTCGTTCCCTGTGTATTCTGAACGGAATAGACAGTTCTCCCTAATTTCTGTTGCCTTTAGCTTATGTGCTTTCCTTTTTGTGAATGGCAACGTCTTTAAACAGCCAAATGAGCAAGCAATAAAATGGTTGCGTGAAACAAGCAAGTGGTACATGGAAAAACAAATCATACATGCTTTGACTGCTGCATTGTTAGGATCTTTCTGTAACTCAG